AGTTACTTAACACCAACGCTTCTTCAACCTGTTTTATTTCATCATTTAGGTCTTTTCTTGTGCTACTTAGTGCTAATTTATATGAGAGTTTTATTGCGTCTCCGAGTTGAACACTGATTGATATCAGTTAAAGAACCATCGGAAAACAGCACTGTATTACCGGACAGCTGTTTCATCAGTCTACTTTGCGAATCATCGACACTACGTACCCCTCACAGGCAGTTCGAACCCAGCATCTTCCGGGTACAAGGCCAGCTAGCTAGCTCGTATACCATTCAGCCACCACCCACTGGGTCTCGATTTAATGGCTAGCCAGTGCATGAATTCTAACCTCTACCAATTCGTGATGCATTTAGCGCGACTGTCACCAACCATTGGATCGTGTCCCAGTGACTGAATGGTGAAAACATAACTATTCCTTACAACTCAAACTATAGAAAAAATTAATCTGATGCTCGCTAGTGAGTGACTTGCTACAGGACGAAGTTGGTTTCCTGGAGTCAGTCAGTTCTAGTGAGAAGTCGTGACCAATGAGGTGGTGGTCCATCCAGATGTCACGTGTGAGTATGGATGTCCCATCGACGGCATTCATTGGTTGGTGACAGTCGCGCTAAATGCATCACGAATTAGTAGAGGTTAGAATTCATACACTGGCTGGCCATTGAATCGGGTCGGGTCCCTAGTGAGTAGTGGCTGAATGGAATACGAGCCAGCCAGCTAGCTTGCCTTGCTTGTAACCGGAAGAGCCTTGGTTCGAACGCCGTTGCAGTGTTGGGTGCATACTGCCGATGATGATTCCCAAACTAGGCTGATGAGACAGCTGTTGGTTTTCAATGCTGCATCTCTAACTCCTCATTGATATCAATCCGTGCGTGCGTGCATGATCAACTCGCCAGAAAACACAAAGCATAACTAACCCTTACAAACCATCAAATCAAATCAAACCAGAGCAGAGGAAAATAAATTAAGCCTAAATTGTCTATCTCACTGTCTGTCTGTCTCTCATTGCATAAATAATACACCCACCATACACACACACACATAGTACAATAAAAGGTACACAAATCACAAGTCACATGAACACTGACACACACACACACAGACACACTTTCAAATACAGAATTCATAATTAGCGGTGATGATGATAATCAGAATCCGAAACCACACAAAACTGATCAGTGTGTGTGAATACCCCTCCCCCGCCCATTTTGATGTCCTGATGTCCTTCCTACAAACAATAGGGGTGATGTAATAATGAACTTTCATTAGTTATTTGATTCAATGAATTCACTTATTCAATAAATAAATTAATTAATAAATTAATTAATCAATTAAAAATTGCATAATACTTTAAAATATACACAAGCTAACTGATTGTTTAATTATGCCCACATATATATGTGTGTGTATGATGGAACGAACTTTGTTCAGTAAGTAAGTATGCCGATGATCTGACTATTTCAATGTGTCTGTTAACTCCCATACCAGCTAGACAGACTGTACTACGTTGAACGAACTAGACGCGACACACTACGGATCATCATTGAACAAAGCTTGGAATGGCAGTCAGCCCTCTGTCTCAACTTCGTCGACTTTGAAAAGGTGATCCACAACGGGAAACTTCCGGAATCCTTCGAAGAATTGATAACAGAAGCCGGCTGCCTACTATCGTCAATGATTTTCCTGATTACAGTAGATTGGATAATGTGACAGACAGCACCGGGCAGCGAGGAAACAGGCATAAAATGGACCCACACAAAAACAACTTCGAGGATCTATACTTCGCCAACGACATATATCTGATTTCAAACAGACTCGAAGATATGCAAGTGAAAAGCGGCAACAAGTTGGCAGAAGAAGCATCCAGAGAAGATAGAACTTCAAGTAAACATAGAAAAATCAGATGTGGTGATGAAGATTCCTGGTCAACACCAGCAGCAACAACAACAACAGACAACATTCAGACAGCATAAATGGGAGGATCCTGAAGGAAAAATCCTCCCTCACGTACCTGCATACCCACCACCTACCTGGGAAGCATCGTTTCAACTACAGGCGGACGGAATCGACAAGGATATCAAAGAAGCCAGGATAGGGAAAGCAATACAAGCTTTCATTACTCTCAAGTTTGTGTGGAGGTCAACAGACAGCAATAATCAGCATGAAAATGAAAATGATATCCGGATTTTCAACTCCAATATGAAGTCCGTCAGTGCTACTCACTATGCGGATCAGAGATTTGGCCAGCGTGTCATGAATGGCACCTCAAACAAACTACAGACCTTCATCAACAGCTAGTTGTCTTCGCTCAATACCACTCAAGATCAGATGGCCGGCCGGCCAGAAAAGATAAGCAACAGGGATCTCTGGGAGCGAACCAACACAGCAACAACCAATTGTGAAACAAATAGGCAGTACGAGATTAAGATGAATTGGACATACTCTGAGGAAATCATCAAGTGACATCACTAGACAAGCCATTGCTCGAGTGGAACCCGAAAGAGAAGCGGCGAGTTGGTCGTCCAAAGGTGAAGGTAAAGGTGAAGTTCATGTGAAGAGGAGATAAATACGTGTGAGCAGACTTGGAGCCAGGTGAAGACTCTAGCAGAGAACCGAACGCAATGGAGACGCACGACTGAAGCTCTATGTTCCTCTAAGAATTAAAGGAAACAATAATAATACCCAATTGTTTAATTATGCTCATATATATGTATGATGAAATGAACTTTGTTAAGTATGCCGATGATCTGACTATTTTTTGAATGTCTGTTAACTCGCATACCAGCCAGCTAGACAGACTACTGTACTAAGATGAACAGCTTTCTATCATCAGGAGTGGTTAGCAAATGGTCTTTTGTCTAATCGTCTAACGGCCTTAAACTAAATCCTTCCAAATGATGTCAGACTGTTAATTTCAGTTTCCGATATGAGTAAGTAAGAAAGTTAAGCGATGAAGCTGTTGGTTCCTATGGCCGTTGCAAAATTGATGGTGATATTGATATAGAAATCAAGTCTGAAGTTGAGTATGTTGGATTAATTCTTTCTACTGACGTACCTATCCTGGTCTTCCCATGTGTTAGTGATTTCTAAAAGAATATTTCGTCTGACATTTTACATTAAGAAGTTAAGGCACTCAGGAATAACTCAACCGATCCCTCCTCCTCTCACAGTTTGTCAACTGGTGCGTCTCACCTATTCTTCTTCACTGTTCACCCCTGCTTATTCTCTCCTTGATTGCTTAAAAATGACTATGTCATACTTTTCAGAACTCTGAAGACTGTCAGTCAGTCAGTAGGGCGAGCAGTATCCCATTGAACAATATCGTTATTATTGTCATTTACGATAGGCACTTGATATCATGCAACAAATTTGCTAAAAGAATTTTGTCAGACTGTGAGCATCCACTTTAGTTACCCACAACTCCACCCTTGTGTCTCCTCCTCAGGTAAAACAAGAAGTCTTTTTAGAAGACTTTATGCATGTACGTCTAAGTATAAAAATTCCACTATACCATATTTGGCGGCACGTACTTTATGTGATGAAAATAGTGTCAGGCCTGAACTGACTAACTAACTAACTAACCTTCTTTGCACTAGTAAATAAACCATTTCCTTCACCCTTACAATATCAACCTTGTTATTGTTATTGTACTTCTTATATTTATAGTCCTCCGAATTTTTTTGTTTTAATTGTTAAATAATTTTCTCACAAGTGTGAGCATTATTTAAGCTGTGTTATAACTATGTTAATTTTGTCTATCGCCTCACCATGGTGCTATATCAACAGAACATTAGATTCAATACTCTATAATAACATGCTAAAGTTTTCAAACTGAATCGACAATACTGTTTGAGACAAACTCGCTGTTATTATTATTATTATTATTATTATTATTACTATAATATTTAATATTCTCAATTTATGCTTCGAATATTTTTGACTTTATATCGTAAATGTGGACAAATTCCTCTGGTTAATTTTGTTTTAATTTTTAATTTCATTAATATTTTGAGTAAATCAGATGGAAGGTGCTTTGACAAATGCTGAGAATTGCATTCTGTATTATTAGTATTGCAGGTTTTGGAATAAAGTAGATTTTTATTATTATTTTTATCCAGCATGCAGTCATACTTTCTCATACTACTTAAATTCTATGCTAACACTAATAAAAGTATTATATCTGTGAATATACAAGGAAGGTGTATGTATTATCATTAATAATATTATCATTGATTTCTTCGGGCTGGCTGGCGATTGACCTCCTTTCTGTAGAACTATGGTGTAGTGGGTATTTCGATTGGACACTAGTCAGTCAGTAACTAGTGTGACGTGTCTAGCTGGCTAGTCCTTTCATTCGTGCAGACTGAATTCTATCAGTCAGTAAGTCAGTCGGATTTGCAATGTGGCCACCATGCCACTAGGTGGCTAGCTCACCATCACGGTGCACACATTGATTTGATGATATTAGATAGTTGGAGGTCATTGGCGGCATAGGAAACCAACTAGCCCACTAGCAAGAAACCTAGGTCTAGGCGAGGCTTCCTCTGCCACTGATTCCCGCCAACTATCTTATATCGCCAAATACATATGAGCACCATGTGATGGTGAGCTAGCCACCTAGTGGTGGCATGGTGGCCACATTGCAAACTTGACTGTCTGACTGACTGACTGATAGAATTCAGTCTGCACCAAAGACAGGAGGACTAGCCAGCCAGACACACCAGTCACACTAGTTACTGACTGACTAGTGTCCAATCTACATACAGGCCGACATTAGCAGGCTGACTTTGTCGGGATTTATGATCACTGAAGTTTCACAGTGGAAACATGCATCACTGGATTTTGTAATAAACAAAGTTTACACTGTTATATCACTAACAATAATAATAATCACAATTTTTGTGTATTTGTATTCACAGACTGTCGATTGCCATACACACAAAAACGACGCTAACGAGGCTAACCAACCCAACCCAACACACACACACACACTCACCTACCTAACTCCAATCTGCTTCAACACTGCACACAAGTCTGCAATACATCCAGGCTGGTCGGCTACAACAACGATGAAACGACACAGACGACCTTCAAGTGCCAAGCCCCGATCAATGACACGACCCAACATTGAAGTGTCAATATTACCACCGCTTAGTAGGCAGACAACTCTGGAAAAGAGAAGAGGAATAAAAAGAACGAGGGAGAGAGAGAGAGAGAAGAGGAGATATCGGCTCTTTTATTTACTCAAAGAATAATAATTCAACATTTTCCAATCTCTACATATCAATAATCAAGTAGAAAAGAAAAATAATAAAATTGGAAGGAGGGGGATTTCATTATTGATCATTATTGAGTTGACTGACATCAGCTGGGTAGAGAACCACTGGAAAACCAACCTGCCAGTCACAGGGAAGAGTACTGCACAGCCAGCTAGCTGTTTCCCTCCCTCGTCAGCCTAGTTTGGGACCGGCTATTCAGCAACAGTACGCACCAACCCCCCACTGTCAGTGTTCGGACCATGGACCGCATTCTGGTTTCAACGCCAGCGAGCTAGCAACGTCGTAGACCATTGAGGAGCAGCCACTGGGACCCGACCTGATCCAATGGCCAGCCAGCCAGCCAGCAAGTGCATGAATTTTAACTTCTCCCAATTCATGCATGACATAGCGCGACCATTTCGCAACGTCGTCCTCTTCGATGAGTGAGTGAGTTACTGCCTCATCTTCAACCTGCTTACTGCTGTACCCTACTGATGAAATCCTCCATTCAATCGGAAAAAAGCCTTTAAAAAATCAATACTTGAAAAATAATACATTATTTGGAATATTCTACCTTCCTACATGGTGATAAGGAAAAAAACGTGGCATTTCTCCTTCATGCAATTGTTCTCTGTCCTTCAAGTGTTGGTTTGTAGGGGGGCGGATTTGATTGATTGGGTACAGGATTTCTTCATGACGAGCTGACATTGATTGGTTAGAGAACCATTGGAAAAGCAACCAGGGATTACAGGACAACCAGCTCTTTCACACGTCCTAGTTTGGGACCGACTATTCAGCAGTGGTTGGAACCCAGCACCACGTTCTCATTACAAGGCCAGCGATCTAGCTCTTAGACCATTAAGCCACTCACTGGGACCTGATCCAATGGCCAGCTAATTCACGCACGACATAGCGCGACTGGCACTAGCCAATGTCTTATGTGGCGAATATTTGTCCTCACACGCGACCTGCTGCACCCTACTGGTCATGACTTCCCACTAGAACCCATCCAGGTAACTACCTACCTACCTGAATAGGGCAAGTCTCCAGTGAGCGGCATCTCATCGATATTCAAGTGTTGGTTTGTTAAGGGGGCGATTTGATTGATTGGTTACAGAACTCCAAGTGGCTGGTTTTCTAATGGTTCTCTAACCAACGCTGATGTCAGCTGGTCATGATGAAATTCTTCTGTGTCTGTCTGTCTGTCTGTCTATATGTCCTTCTATCTCTCCATCTCTGTTTGCAATAAATACTTTTCAATTCCCTTCACAATGATGATGAAAATAAAGACGTCGGATAGGCTATGTCATGAATGTATGTACACACAGTGTAAGTTAGCCGTGTCGATGAAGCCATTCAAACCGTCATAAAACACTGCAGCATGATGTGCGACCGACAAAAATTTTTGGTTGTGTATTGCATAGAATGGAAATCAAACCTCTACCTCAACTTTATAGAATTTGAGAAGGCCTTCGACAGACAGCGTTGACCGTGAAGTGATTTTGAAACCACTCGAGTACTACGGCGTACCTGAAATATTCAACAACCTTATTCAACAGCTGTACGACAACGGCACATGTCAAGTGATCCACAACGGAAAACTCAGCGAGGCATTTGGAGTAAACACAGGAGTCAGACAAGGGTTCTTATTATCACCAATGATATTCCTAATTGTGGTGGGCTGGACTGGATTATGCGTCAGACAGTGGGAAACGAGAAGACAGGGATATCCTCGACCGACGTGAACAATCTAGAAGACCTGAATTTCGCGCGGGGATGATTTATGTTTGATGTCACGCAGAATTGAAGACTCACAAGCGAAAACCGACAAACTGGTCGAAGAAGCAGCCAGAGAAGACAGGACTCCATCCAGTTGAACATAGACAAGATGGAGGTTATGAAAATCACCAGCAAACCAACAACAGCAACAACATCAGCAACATCCAGCGCCATTCACCATCAACGGGAGGGATTTGGAAGAGGTTACGTTATTCACTTATCTAGCTAGGGAGCATTGTCTCAACTACAGGAGGAACGAACGAGGATGTCAAATCGAGAATCGGGAAGGCGAGAAACATATTCATCAACCTCTAAAAATCAATCTGGAAATCTTCGTCACTCAGCAACACTCAACAACAAAATTCAATACAAACGTCAAGTCAGTCAGGAACAATAATAATAATAATTTTATAAAATGGTCCATGAAATGTATAAATAATCTCAAAGGGATGTGTGTGTATTTATGTGTTTGTGCGTGTGCGAGTGTGTCGAAATAATGATAAGATTCACAAGCGATTAAATTATTACACAACATAGTCTGGCCATGGAACCTCCTTTGGGTCCTCGAAGTAGTACCACATTGTTTCATAGCCAATCTTGAAAATGGTCATTCTCCTGATGTGTACTCATCGAAGAGAACTGATGGAACTCCGGGGAGATTGGCTTATAAAGAAACAACCTGAATATATCATCACGATTCCTTGACGGAGATGCGCTGGCTATCCGAATAGTTTCATAAAGAGACATATGAAAACATCAGAGAGAGAGAGAGAAAACCAACCTGAGACTCTGACTGCACGTAAGAAACCGCTGTCTTTTATTAAGTTACAATTTAATGGTGACTTGTCTGTCAAGTGAGATTTTATTCCAGAGACTTCCCCAGGAGTATACGGAGAACGTTTTATGCAGCATACTTATGTGTTTTTCTGTCATTCTCTAGCCGACGAATCATTGGGACACAAACGAAGGATAGATAGATAGCTAGATAGATAGTTTCGCCACACATCTATGTGCATTTATCAATAATTCAACTGCACCTCCGGTGAAAGTTATGTTATGTTGGGCACACTACTACTGCTAGACAGCTTAGCCAGCCAACGTGTCACTCAATGAATGAACATCTCCCATTATAGTGGGGTTTGGCAAACGATGGACAAAAACAACATTGCGTACGTAGCTCAATCATGTCACATTTTGTGATATTCTCTCGACCCAATTACAAGGACACACACACACACACGAATTCTGTAGAAGGATTTTTCGGGGAATGTATATGTACACAGAATATATGTGGTGTAACTTCGTTTCTATTGACACTCCTATGCTAAACTGTGCGAGATGTTACTGTCACATGTTAGAGAGAAAGATACCCTATGTCGTAACAAACAGTTTTTATTCAGTTTTTATGCTTTTCTTTTCCATAAATATATTCGTTTTCCATAATCAAAATTCCCTCTGTCACGTGATTGGTTCGTTGAAGGTCGTTCGCTGATTGGTGGTTAGTTAGTTATTGGTGCTTAAAGTTTAACTTTGCCTCCTAGTAGTCCATCTATGCATGCATAACTGTTATATATAATCCCTATTTCTTCCTACTTTAGGCCTATTGATTTTTCCTATTGATTTATTTCATTTGAATATTTCTTCTTTATTATTATTATTATTTTGATTGTTGTATTATGAATTTCACATTGAAGAATTTTCAGGATTGGTTGGAGGATTTCATTCATTATGAGCTGACATTGATTACAGAAGAAGAACCACCGGAAAACCAACCTTGGAGTAATGAACAACCGATTTCGTCCTACTTCAGGACTCTTCACCGCTAGGGTTCGAACCTAGTAACTTTTAACTTCTGTCAGTGGTCCTATTGACTCAATAATCTGCGAGCTGTCTTTCCTTGTTGTAACCAGAACTTGGTCCTGTGTTCGAACCTTGTCAGTGGGGTGGGTGCGTACATCCGAAGAGAGTCAGTAGTCACAAAAATCGAAATCCGTACAAATCAATACTTGAAGATTTTCTGGGTATTATCTCACCTGTCATCTCAGTTGAATGAAATTTTCGTAATGAAAAATTTTCCTAATCACAAATAATTAACACCTTATTAGGTAGGTGTGGTGTGTTAATTATTAATGCATATATGTATATATACGGAGAGAACTGACGTACTTTTTGCCGACTAATTCCGGTAACATGTCAGCCATGATTACAGCCAAAGACGTCGCCGCTGAACACTCGACAACACACTTCTCCACTTCCAACAGGCGTACAACTGCCCGATGTATGTGTGACTCGTTCAGTGTGATGACTTTGTCCACGAGATGACGACACGTCTGGAATGCATTGACGCCAACCATGGCGATTGCTAAGCCTAAACAGAAAAGAAGAGAATATATATACACACAAGGCAACACTCAATCAGTCAGAAATCAATGCGAGATCGATAGAGGACAATACTGGAAGGGAGATTTTATTGTCAATACTGAAATCATACAGGGCATAAATTGAATTTTGACAAAAAATGGCCAATTTTTCAATATTTTTACTGTACCATAGTGGGGATTTTATTATTGTATGATATAAAGATTAGGAGTGAGAACGCCATCATTTATTCGCCTCCCCTGAGGAGATTATCAATATATTCGATTTTGTGGTGACAGTCCTACTGACAGTCTTCAGAGTTCTACGAAGTATGGCATAGTCCTTTATAAGCAATCCAGGAAAGAAAAAGGGTGAACAGTAAAGAAGAATAGGTAAAATACACGAGTTGATAAATTGTAAGAGAAGTGGTTGAGTTATACCTGAGTGCCTTAATTTCTTAAGAAGAACTTTCTTTGCGGCAACATTGACAGAAGGGTTCTCCAGTCACCCACTGATGTGCAGAAGCCCAAAGGACATCTATGTGTTTGTGTATATCAGTTCACCTGCTGCTGTGGAGCCAGCCAGTTACATCGGCCGTTCAACGTGCATCTTGTCAAAATAAGGGTCAAAGAGCACACACGCTATCCAGCATGGCTGCAGAAAGGAAGTAGTTTCCGTTTAAGGTGTGCAATAATCGAACATCTCGTCAACACTACTGGTCATCCCATCTCAACAACAAACGCCTCCTGCTTCAAAGTAATCTGCCTGCAAAGTGAAGAACAACCTGCCAAACACAAAAATACGTTTCCGTCTTCTTTGCATTACCGAAGATTTAGCCATTCAGTTGGAAGAACCAGAAAATTATTCAACCTTATTTCTACTCTCATGGTGACAACTCCGCTGATTTGACTTAACTTTTGTTTGTGTGCTTATTTTTCTAACTACTTAAAACTCTCGCGTGATTCCGTATGTGATTTTGTTTCCATGTACACACACCCTGAGCACAACTCTTTCATCAAGCTATTCACGTCGTTATTACGTAACTCTATTCTTTAACAATCGTTTGTGACAACTCATCACTTTTGTTACACTACCGTTGTAACAACAGAAGACAAGGGCCAGGCAACAGAACGTTTATAACGGAAAATCAACACATATTTATAGATTTTAATGTACATTATTGTAGGTTAATGTTAGTAGAAAATACAGTCTTTTGATTGGTGGTTGTTTCTCACAGAAACTTAACCTTGCATCTCTTGTGGCTGTGTCAGATCATCTATGTGCTAACTGTATCCGCCTGTCCATCTTGACCTTGTTTTCACATGACTAACATTGACCTCAATTACTGTCAACCAATTTGGCTAGCAACCATCTCTCACCACAATATGATATAAAGATTAAGATTAGGTAAGAATGCCATCAATGGCATCAAGTGTCATTTATTCGCCTCCCCTGAGGAGATTATCAATCGATATATTCGATTTTGTGGCGCTGATTTACAATTATTTCCCTGAGGAGCATCTCGAATGATACAGTTGTCTTCAAATTCTTATCAGAGAAGCTTTTTTCAGGGGGTGTGTGTTAGTCATTTACAGTAGTAGTGAATGCGTCAGGGTGAAAGGTATCCTGCAACACTGAAAGTCATTCGAGCCTGTTTGTCAATTTCTCTTCAAAAAAAGGAAAAAATTGGTAGAGTATAACTCCATTATGGTTAAGATTTTCTATTTTGATAAACTGTCACTCACAGTGTGTCTGTAGTGTTATACAGTAAGGAATATTAACTGATGCGACCACACGCTTCGAGCACAATTTATTATTATTGCCACTCATAATCATCATATCAAGTCACTCACTGACTCACTCACACAACTTTCGTCTTCCTTCATTTATATACATGAGTGGAATTGATGATTAGACATTTGAATACAAATCAGTAATATGGGATAATGTACATTCAGAAATAATAATATGAGTGTTATTGATCAATTACCATGAGATGGGAAATATGACGAGTGTTTTTATAGTCATAATAAGTGAGTAACTTGATAGAATGTCGTGATAATGTACGTGAATTGAATTGAAATAGAATACAATTTGAGATTATTTATTATCCTCCTCTGATTTCACTGACTGACTGGTGGTTATAATATCTTCCACGCATATCTCTGGTATTTGCATTGTGTCATTTCTGTTACATGTGTTGTGTTGTGTGTAGATTGGATAAACCAGACAGGATTCAGTAATCAACCTCTCTCTTTCTCCACCAACATAGATAACTTCTTACAATCTTAACCCTCTCCCACCATGCTATTGTGTGGCTGTGTGTTAATGCATGCAGTGCAGTGCAATGTAGTCCTGAGATTTGGGTCAACCGGCAGCGTCTTTTAACCTACCTACAGAGCTTGTCCTATCTGAGTGTGTTTGAATGGTTAAATGCCGCCAGCCTTATTCCTGCTTTATTAAGAATCCTACGTAGGGAGTGTCTCAGATGTCTCCTCCCTCCTTATATGGTATAACAGTGGATGCTTATATTCTCTCTTATTTATGTTATCACTGCTAGTTTCACAATTATTTTTCGATTTTGCTTTTGGCCTTTTCCAATCTCCCTAATGAATTTTATAGGACAGCTAGCTAGTTAGCTAGCCAGCTTACGACACAGCTCATTTTCATAGTACCTGGAAAAACTATATCGACAGAACCGGAAAACATATACATGAGCATATATATGCATAAAATTTAGTCAGTAATTTCGAATAGATGAACGATGTCATAAAGAGCTGCTAAATATGTAAAATATGTAGGAGTAATTTCCAGATGCGGCACTGTCTGTCTGTTTTCAACATATAACTTTGCACCGATGTGCAGCAGTTCAAGTTGCCACACTCCATTTATCACGCAAAGCAAGAGAAGAAAGTAGATGAAATGCATAATAGAGAGACAGTAAACATAGGTGTGAGACAAAGGTATAGTAGTGACGAATAACAATATAGTTTAGTCTGGTATTATAATTCACAAGGAGTGGATTTATCTTTGCCATTGAGAACGATTTTGAGCTAGCCATATCACCAATTGTTTCCAGCCTTCATTGGTTTTTACCGTCCTGAGGATCCCAAACAGTCAGGAAGTCTACACCTTCCTACGTGACTGGATGGATTAAACTAACTGTTGTAGATTTCATTGACTGGTGAAGCCATGTTTTGGTTTGACCAACGCTAGCTCTTTTCCAGCCTGACCAATGGTCAGCTAACAGTGACCATTTTCCAGGAAGGCGATGACTAAGTATTCATTCGTAACACATGTTCTTACCATCTCAGTCGATGTAGCTTCACAGTCTCGTCAATTGATTTCCCCTCCCAACTACTTATACTCGACCGAAGCCTAACCTCACTATCGCTCACCTTATTATACCACTTCACCCGGGAGATAGAACGCAGACACCTATGATCAAAGAGAGACAGCTACCCTTTTCATGTCTTCCACTCTCAGTGGCCAGGTCTCGCTCACAGCCAGCCATAAATGAGGACGGACCGGACTGCTGAGCAGTACACCCGCCCTTTGGTCGACAGCCAGCCAACCGGATATCACGTATACTAAGCCAGAGACAGTGTCAGAGATCAACCCGTTGGCACTAGCTGATGGTAGTTCCCAAATAAGTGAAGCGGTCAACGTGCTCCACCAACCACTTTCTAAACTAGGAGTCAGTGTAGTCCACTTCAGTCCTGTAACATCATCCTACATTTGATATCAGGAGCGAATCGCATGCCAAACATTCATGGATTGCAGCTCAGGGTGTTCAGAAGACTTTGCTGTAATTTGTCAGCGTCCTCGCTTAGAACGACTATATCATTTGCATATTCTAAATCAACAAGATTGTTCCCTGATGGTAGCCAGTCAATCCCTGAGTCTCTGAAGTGAGTTAGAGTTAAATCCATTAGTACATTTATGATGAAATTGAATAGAAATGGGGATAATGGGCATCCCTGACGGACACAACTAGTTGTCACCACTTCAGATGACGACTCGCCGTAAGCTCTCACCTGGCTGGATGCATGAGTTCGAGTAGAGTGAGCGCCTTGATCAGTGCAATGTATTTTCTCCGGACACTCCGTCGTTTTGAAGACGTTTCAGTACTACACGTAAAGAACACTAACACTAACGCCAACTCAGCTCTTCTGCCTATCACTTCGGAGACTTGCCTGAGAGACTTTCATCAACAGCTTCTCGTTCGCTTCTCATTCTGAAGATTATCAAATGACAGGCGAGGAAGGATTAGAAATATAGAGAGAGAGAGGGCTCTGAAAAACGAATCAACCAACCAACAACAACCCACAGTCCTACAAGTAAATACACAGTGTGAAATCATGTGCCAGGCACTAGAGTGGAACCTGATTGGGAAACGGTGAGTTGACACTAGTGTGTGAGTGAGATAAGAGATTATGAATGGGCAATGGTGGAGCCTTCTAAGGAGGACAGCGAAAAAAAACACGAAGAAGTGGAAAGGTGCCCTATGTTGAAGCCCTCAATGTTCGACTGGGAACACACTCACAAGAGACTAATTGTAATATTATTATGATAAGTTTTCACACAAATACAATAAAGGTACACAAACATGAAACTACCTAATACAAGAACAAAAAGCGAATCCTTACGCAGCATTAGAAAGAGACGAATGTGCTTGTGTGAGTGTGTGTGACACCAACTAGAACAAACAGACTTCGTTTTTCATATAGCCAACTTTCATTGGACTTCCCTAACTTGTGGATGATGATTTGACTAGGTAAGAAGAACGACGGGAGCTTTTGTCTTACAAAGTGAGGCATTTTATCTAGACTGCAAGTTCAGCAATAAAGGAAGAGGAATCCAGCTATTTATTGATAGTATTTCTGCATATTTACAATATAGGCTGCCTGTTATTCGAATCATCCATGACTTGTAATTAATAGTGTTTGTTCTCTGAGGATCCAGCTGGTTGGTTTAGTTGCGGAGCTGTCGTCGTCCCCCACCCCTGGCTGGACAACATCCATCTTCAGTGCAAATTTTAGCATAAAGTGAAATGATTTAAATTTCTTCATGAGTGGTGATAGAATTGCGTGCGTCTCCCGGTAACCATCTTCATGACATCTACATTGTTCATTTTCTATTGACTTGGATTTTAAACTTTCTACTCACATGATCTACTTTTTATTAGATGGTAGATTTGGTCTATATTAACATGATTGTTAATCGCTGACTGATTCGTTTGAGTACCACCAGGCTTCTAGGGATTTCCTGACTACACTTTTCGTGGTGGTGTTTCCTCTGTCTAAAATTTCAACATTATCCCAGTTATCAAACTGATGTCCATAATTATGTAAATATGCATTGATATGAAACAGGAGTGTATATATATCATGCATTTTCACAGCTGATTTGTGTTCCTGGATTCTGATTCAACCACCGATTTAATGCCTGTTACAGTTCATACATGCAATTTATTTTGTAATAATTGGTATTAATTTTATCTACTTTCTCTGTTCGATGTGTCTTTCGGTTTGCACAATATCGAATGAAGTGATTGGACTGACTGGCTGGCCGGCTTGTGTGCTATATCTATATCAAACGATTTCAATATTCTAGTTGTTATTTCAGAGATATTTTCGCTGATATATATGGTAGGATGAATTTTCTTCTGTTCTATAATGATGATGGTTCCTTGTTGGTGTTGTGATTCGATTTTAAACACGTTTTGATGAAATTTTGTGCGGATAACCATTCTTTTTGAAGACCGTTAGTAGGTATTTTTCCTCCATTCCTCTCAACGCTGGCGTACTTCTACAGTCTGTGTTGAACTCTCTTGTGAACAATGTCTGCACACAGTTTCTTTTCTGAGTGAGTAATTGGGTTGTTATTGCTAGTATAGTTGATTTTCTATACACTTGTGTTTCTAAATTTCCTGTCTTGTTTCTCCTGATTAAGACATCTAGAAATGGGATTTTGTTGTGGTCTAATCCTTCTTCTCATCGTGGTGAATTTGATGTCTTCAAATATGTTGTTTATTAATTTATGGGCACATATTCTAAATCACATTTCTTTTAATTATTACAAGTGTGTCATCAACGTAACGTACCTGTCCAGATTTTCGGTTTAATTACAGGTAGGTAGAGCTATTGATTCTTATGTTTGCATGACAGGCTTTGGATATTAATCCTGATGTGGTCGATCATCCTATTGGTGTCCCCTTTGAATCAGAATCACCCAGGAACACAAATCAGCTGTGATGGAAAGACATGATATATATATTCATGTTTTATATCAATGCATATTTACATAATTATGGACATCAGTTTGATAACTGGGATAATGTCGAAATTTTAGACAGAGGAAACACCACCACCAAAAGTGTAGTCAGGGAATTCCTAGAAGCCTGGTCGGTACTCAAACGAATCAGCCAGCGATTAACAAACACGTTAATATAGACGAAATATACCAACTAATAAAAGGTAGATCAAGTGACGAGAAAGTTTACAATCCAAGTCAATAGATGGTTACCGGGGGACGCAATTCTATCACCACTCATGGAGAAATTCAAATCAGTTCAATTTATACTAAAAATTTCGCTTAAGTAGGATGTTGTCCAGCAAGCAGAGGGGATCACGGAAGCTCCACAACTGAAGCATCAACCAGATCCTCAGAGAACACACTATTAAATAATTGCAAGTCATCCACCTGAGGTACAAATCTTCTCTATTATTATTACAGAATCGTTCATGGTATCAAATAAACGGGAGAGATTAAAAAACGACGTTATATGATAAGTTAAATAGGTTAGAATTTTTGGTATATAAATAAATACGGCGGTATAACTTACCATCTGCACACGATGGGAAATTTTCTGTATAAACTGGTTTCCCGGCAAGCATTGCTTGATTGAAACCTGGACAGTTCTCTGATTCCACAGCCTGAAATGTCGACAGAAACATTGTGGAGTAAGAGTAAATAAAACTTCTTGGGGAAACAGTTGAAAGGGGGGGTGGGGAAACTGAATCAATTTTGAAGTATTTAACTGTACATTATTAATCACAGCCTTCGGAGTGCATCTATATTCTACAGGGGTATATCATAAATCCCCAAGAGCACACTTCTTCAACTTCTGAAGATAGATTTTAGAATATACGACAACTATTGGTCTCCCCACTAGGTCCCTGTCTTGGCTGATTTCCTTCTAAGTTAGCTAGAAAATCGACCTCAGAACAACAACAACCTTATCAGTAAGTTCTCATTTTATTCCCAGTATATACGGATGACACACCTTCATTCTATGTGAGATAATGATTCGGATAGAGGAGTGCAATAATTACTGAATTCAATGAAGTACATTCTCCACTATGAAATTCACATGTGAAAAGGAATCCCAAAAGAGAGAATGAATTGCCTTCCTGGATTCCGCGTCCTCCTCCTTACAAGAAAACCAGATGGTAGCATAAAAATAGAAATTTGCATAGAAAAAGTACTTGGACAACAGGACAATATACACACACATTTTCACAGCTTCGTTGCTCTCTCAAGTACAGAAGAAATTTAGTGAAGACCCTCACTCAGCCACAGAGTCAGTTAGAGCTTTATGCTCAGAATAAGTAATTGAAGATGAATTCAGCATGGATTGTATATGATACTTTGATTGATCTAAAATAGTTTTCTCGACAAATTTAGTCAAGAAACACATGACAAAGAAAGCGGCGGAAAAGGACTACTCACTCTCCATCCGTAAACAAGAAGCCTTTATGTATCTACGATTGCAATTCAAGGGTGATCGATATACCAAGTGAGATAATTACGAAGAAATTAAGAAAATCAGTTCAAAGAAGTTTTAATGCTGGCGACGAAGTACACGTCTTATTCTCTACACGACCGATGGTGCTACCCCGACTGAAAGACGAACTACCTAGACTAGACTAGCTGGCCACTTCAAATTGTATCTACCAATTCAACTACAACTGTACTTGTGTTGGAGCGAGTTATATTCGCCATTGTTGCTATAGGAACTTGATTTTTCGTGCTCACCCGCTCGAGAACATCTCCCACTACGGCTAAGTAAAGGTTTAGTGAAAACCATTAACAAACAGTTCGATATTGGACCATCTGGTGCAAAATGGCTGGCTGGCCACAAATCCAGCCAGCATTACTCACTTATTTTAACAATAAAAACACTCGTCTTATTTCCCAACTCATTTTAATTGATCAATAACACTCATATTATTATTATCATTATTATTTCTGAATGTACATTATCCCATATTACTGATTTGTATTCAAATGTCTAATCATCATCAATTCCACTCATGTACATAAATGAAGGAAGATGAAAGTTGTGTGAGTGAGTGAGTGAGTGACTTGATATGATGATTATGAGTGGCAATAATGTGAATTGTGCTCGAAGCGTCGTGTGGTCGCATCAGTTAATATTATGACTTACTGTATAACACTACACACACACACACACACACACACACACACTGTGAGTGACAGTTTATCAAAATAGAAAATCTTATCCATAATGGAGTTAACCTTCAGTCCCATCAGAAAAACGAAAATCTCTACACACACACACACACACACTATGTAACGCATGTTCTGTCTCTTCTTTGTTTGACATCATCAACACACTCACAATTATCGGTCGAATAGCTTTTGCTGCAACGGATATTCCAGCAATCAGGCCACCGCCACCAACTGGCACTATGATAGCATCAACATCTGGGACTTGTTCCAGGATTTCGATGGCAACACTTCCTTGACCCGCCAAAATATGTGGGTGGTCATAACTGAAATGGAAAGAAACAAACAGACAAACAGACAAGCGAACATGGAAGGCATCAATTGAAGTATGTGCGTGGGTGTGTGGGTGTGTTATGATAAAGCGGAACCTGGATTGCCAAGCCCGTGGAATCAACAGAAGAAGAAGGAGAAGACGAACTGGAACAAACAAGTAAACAAACACTGTCACGATTTACAAGATGACAGACAAGAAGCGCGTATGTCGGTGTCGTTTTGATGACGACAACTTTGAAACCCGATAACAAACAGTCTGCAATCTGCAATAAATCTTGGTATCTTGGTTAGGAATGCATCAAGTCAAACTACACCTGACTATGTACCTGAAACTTACAATCACTGACCTCATAATGTTTACGTCTGTTATTAATGTTTCCTTTAATTCCTAGAGGAACATAGGGCTTCCTCAGCCGCTCACATCTCCATTGCGTTCGATTCTCTGCTAAAGCTTTCACCTTGCTCCAAGTCTGCCCACACGCTTTCATCTCTTCCTCTTCACATCACCTCCTCCAAGTCACTCACCCTCGCACTGACTACCAACTCGCCGCTTTCCTTTCGAGTTCCACTCGAGCAATGGCCTGTCTAGTGATGTCACTCACTTGATGGTTTATTTCCTCAGAGTATGGCCACAATCCAATCCACCTCCATTTCTTCCTGCTTATTTGTTACACAATCGGTTCCTGTTGTGTTGGTTCGCTCATTGCCAGAGATCTCCGTTTCTGATCTTTTCTGGCCATCTGATCTTGAGTGGTATTGAGCGAATACAACTAGCTCTTGATGAATGTCTGTAGTTTGTTTGAGGTGCTCTTCATGACGCGCTGGCCAAGTCTCTGATCCGTGTAGTGAGTAGCACTGACTGACTTCACATTGGAGTTGAAAATCCGGATCTCATTTTCATTTTCATGCTGGGTGCTGAGTGCTGAGTGTTGACCTCCACACAGACTTGAGAGTAGTGAAAGCTTGTCTTCCTTTTCCGATTCTTGCTTTCATATCCTCGTCAGTTTCGTCCGCCTGTAGTTGAAACGATGCTTCCCAGTTAGGTACGTAAGTAAAGGAGGATGTTTCTTTCAGGATCCTCCCATTTATGCTGGCTGATTGTTGTCGGTTGTTGTTGTTGCTGTTGGTGTGGCCCGGGAATATCCATCACTTCTGTTTTCTCTATGTTTACTTGTGGTCAAATCTTTTCACTTGCATATCTTCCATTTCGTACGAAATCAGACGTCTATATCACATTGGCGAAGTCCAGATCCTCTAAGTTCTTTTTTGTGTGAGTCCATTTTATGCCTGCTTTCTCGCTGCCCGTCGCTGTCTGTCGCATTATCCAATCTACTGCAATCAAAAAAATCATTGGAGATAGTAGGCAGCCAGCCAGCTTGTCTTACTCCTGTCCTCACTTCTTCGAAAGATTCCGTAAGTTTCCCATTGTGGATTACTTGGCATGCAGTGTTGGATGCGATATATAATTTTCGGTGGGACCCCTTGGTAGTAGTGAAGTAGTTTCCAAATCACCTCTCGATCGACGCTGCGCTATCGAAGGCCATTTGAAAGTCGATGAAGTTGAGTGAGGTGGAGAGGTGACTGCCATTCCAAACTCTTGTTTACGTCTAATCATTCGCAACTCTTTTTCTCAAACTAACTTAGCTTTGACTAACATCATTTGTTAAAGAGGACACGTTCACGCTGATATTCATCAAATGAGAGAATGAAAATGAATCCAACCACTTCTCCTTTCATCAATCTAACGTACTCAAGTGTTCGTTTGTAGTGGGGATTGTGATTGATTGGTTACAGGATTTCATCATGAACTGACATCAGCGTTGGTTAGAGAACCATTGGAAAACCAACCGGCGAGTGCTGCCAGACAGCTAGCTGTTTCCCCGTCCTAATTTGGGACCGGCTATTCAACAGTATGCACCAATCCCACTGACAGAATTTGAACCCAGGACCACTTTCTGGTTACAAGGCGAGCTAGCTCGTAATCCCTTAAGCAGAGCCACTGAGACCCGGTCCAATGGCCAGCCAGCCAGTGCATGAATTCTAACTTCTGCCAATTCACACACAACATAGCGCGACTGGCACTAGTCAATGTTTTCGGTGCCGGATAATGTTCAGAGATGCGTTTGGAATGTGTACGCCAAGTTGTGCGGGCGGCCAATATAACTAGCTCCACACGACCAGGTGAATTTATAAACACACACACATTGAGGTGGCCTGTCCAAAGCATCAGTTTATCCTTCACACATCCATTGATCATTTGTCGGCTGTAGAAATTGATACGTGGTTCAGACATAAAGAAGGCTCTCCTCAGTGGTGTGGATAAGCAGCGATTCTTGAGGATCTCACCTACGGGATCACCTTTAAATTGAGCACTCATAAATTGCAGTTTCTTCTCGGCACCGTCTGCGTTCTTTCAGGCTTTTCCCTTAACTTCATGTTTTTCTCTATAAATCTTCGAAGAGACACATTCTCTCAATTAGGACTTGTCTGGGTAGCCCCAGTTTCCCATCAATTGTATCACTGGAACATACAATTCTTATTCTTGAGGATAAGGAGTTCCCTATGATAATTAATTCACGCTATTATCACTCTCATATGCTGCTCCCTGTTGTACATTTTCACACCCTCTCGACACACTTGTTCACACTTGGACACTCAACTACCACCTTTATTCTCTCTCTCTCTCACTCAATAGCAATTTTAACCTTCCTTATCAAATTTCTATGTTTCTTTCGTTGAATACCACGTAATTTACAAATTTTAATTTCTTTTTAACTTCTAAAGCCACTTCCGAGTAATTATATATATATATATATCAAAAGCAGAAGTCCTGAATGCCACAAAGTTATTGGAAGTGACTTGGGAAGGTAGAGCAGCATTACCAGATGGAAGCCTTTTCTCCTCCACCCTCACCACCACAAGAAGCAAAGGAGTGGAGATGGATCCAGAGATGATCTTGACGGACATATCCACGCTACTTCTACTACCGATGTGAAAGGGTGGAAGAAAGAATACTTTGTGAAACTGCCAAAAAATGAGAGCGAATTCAGCCCATCCATACAAGAAGTGGCAAGGCATCATGCTCCTTTTCCACACCAAGCAATATATAATAATGATAATTTGCTTTACTCCAGAAAGAGTACTAGTGGTACAGTGTCGAATTTTCAGCACATATTTACAATATTTGTATCTAATTTTATCAAAAATTTAAAAGGATTATTTCAAAAAAATAAATATAAAGACAACAACAGCAATGATGGCGGCCTGTTTGACACCTGGGCTACCTCTCCGTACATCTATATATTTGCATCTAATACATCATGTTTTCCTTTTGTCATTTTAACAAAATATGATCACAAATCGTATCAAGTACAGTAATGAATTCATTAAATGCTTTAAACCATGTGACTTTCATGCATCTAATAAAACTAAGAGAAAACATCATGGTGATTGGCAACGCGCTCTCAAACGGACACCATTATATCGCACAACTATTCCCGTTATTGTCAGTTCAAACTGCCATTCACTTCCCAACAAAATTATGCATCTCCAGTCTCTCTTATCATCTGATACTTATCTCCATACGGCGATAGTTGCATTACAAGAAACATGGCCCCATGATCTTTATGATGACAACCTGGTTTCTATAAATGGTTTTACATTGTTTAGACAAGATCTAATATGCTGTAGAAAGAAAAGAGTTGAAGGTGTTGCAACTTTCATTCATTCTCAGTGGTCAATTTCAAATAATGTATGTTTTTCTTTCTCTAGTGACTTTATTGATTGTATAACAGTCAAATGTTGTCCGAAACACTTATCCAAGTTTAAATAAGGTCTTCATCTCAAACATTTATGTTACTCCTGGCTGTTCCGCCTCAGATCTATCTGATTTTGCCGATGAATTCACAGCATTCGCTATTACACATCTTGAAAACTCTTTATCAGTTGTCACAGGAGATTTCAATACCTGCGATTGTTTTTTTCTTGAATTATTAGGTCATGTCAATATTGTCAAATTTCCAACTCCACTTGATATATTAAGCCGCATCATCCTGAAAAAGGACTGGATAGGAAAGATATATATGTAACGAGGAAGGCATTGTCACAGGAAACTGACCAACAAGTATGACAAAGGAGTCGGCGGAGGTCAGTTTGATGTCTGTCTGGATTCAACATAGAACATAGAATATGAAAGATTACACAAGAGACTGAATACATCTGCGTAAGCCATTGACAACGATTTTGAGCCATGTCACACCTATTGTCTGTCTCCAGCCATTGATTCTTAGAGTCCCGAGGGCGGGCCCCAACCAGAAAGTCTGGATCTCCTTCCCTACCTGACTCAGTTTAACTGTCAAGGATTTCATGGATTGGTGACGCCATATTTTTGTTTGGCATGGCACCGCTTACTCTTTTCCAAACTGCACCTATATATCAGCTAGTAATGCCCATCGGGAGGGGGAGGCGATGGTTAGGCATGCGCAGCACGTGACCTAGCCATCTCAATCTATGTAACTTTATCGCTTCGTCAATTGATTTTCCCTCTTTGCCCAACACTCTACGCCTAACGTCAACATTACTTACCTTATGATACCACCTAACGTGAGAAAGAGATCGTAGACATCTATGATCAAAAACAGTCAACCTTTTCATGTCTTCAACCCGTATTGGCCATGTTTCAGAGAGCCATAGAGAAGGACGGTGCGAACTGCTGAGCAGTACACACGTCCCTTGGTTGACAGTCGGATGTCACACCTACGCCATAGGTGGTGCAAGTTAGCGAAAGCAGCCCGAGCTTTTTGGATCCGTGCTGAGATTTCGTCACCAATCAATCCGTTGGTGCTGATACAACTTCCCCTATCACTAAGCTAGGGGCAGACGTAGTCCAGTCCTGTAGCAACATCTTACATTTTACAGGGGCGAATCGCATGCCAAACATGCAAAGATTGCTGCTCAAGGTGTTCAGAAGACTCTGCTGTATTTTGTCAGCATCCTCCTCCAACAGGACTATGTCATCTGCATATTCTAAGTCCATAAGACTATTCCCTGGTAACAAGTCGATTCCTACGTGGTTAAGTTCAGTTAAAGATACTTCCATTAGCATATCTATGATGAAGTTAAACAGAAAAGGGGAAAATGGACATCCTTGACGGGCACCACTGGTTGTTATCAATTCAGATCACAATTCCCCATAAGCCCTAACACGGCTACGTGAGTTTGAGTAGAGTGAGTGCCTTGATTAGTGCAATGTACTTTCTTGGCACTCGCTTCACAGGCAAACACTGCCATAGTACCTTTCGATCCAAGGAGTCGAAGGCCGCCTTCAAGTCAAGAAATATGGCAATTGTTGGACGCCGAAAAGTGTGTCTATGTTCTAGGATCTGTCGAAGAGTGAAGATATGATCTATGCACCCTCTACAGTTTGATATTTAAATCGACCAGAGGTGTTGTAAACGGAAATCATATGCGCCATGTCGTTGACAAGGAAGGGGAATGAGATTTCCAAGGTCACCGACTGACTGACTGACATACAGTAAGGAGATCATGTTGGAATAAAAATGAAAAAAATATTTTTGACAGTCATAGAGTGTCTGTCATAGAGTACAGTCACTGTGTGTATGTGAGTGTGTGTGAACCACTCCACGAGGATTCCCACCTGATCAGTCAGCCGGCAGCAGTGTAGCACGTGATATAACAGCTCAACACTTATGAATGACTTCAGAAATCAATTTCTCTCTCTCTGTTGCTGTTGCTGTTGTTCTTCTTCTACTTGGTAACATGGCATGTGTTCTCACTCAATGTGTTCTCAAATGACTCACTTACTTACCCATTTATCAGAGGTAAATTGTTCAACTTGGCCATCTTCATTGCATAACGTTTGCTCTTGATATTTTAAATATGGAGAAAAAAAGAGAAAGGGAGAAAGATGATGATAATTGAAGCATGTGATGAACAGTATTCAACAACAGCATTTTGTAAAATATTTATATATATAGATTATCAAGAACACACACGAGATGTATATTCAGCGAAGAGACTCACTCTTTTCGACGAGGAAGTCATCAAGGACAAGACAGAGCTGTACATTCGTGTATTTCTAGCAAATATGTGGGTGCGAAAGCTCCAGAATAATAATAATTTCCGGTTAAGGGTCAAATTAATAAAATTACAATTAGGAATAATTAAAATGCCATAATAAACAGGGGGGAGGGGTGGGGGTTGTGGTGGATAAAACTCAAACAAAGTAGCATCACATAGACAAGAATCTCAAATCTAGGATGACTTCCGAACAAGTCCAATCCGTCCCGAAGAAGAAGATACTCCTGCTTAATCTTGAATTCAAAGGTGATAGTGAAGCAGAAATCCTTCGTAAAAGCCTCTGCAAATCCCTGAGGAAAACATACTTCACCGTGAGCCCTACGACTGACGTTTTCCTGCAAGAAACTGTTCATCAACCAGAACGCGAAAGACAAGATGTCGAATTGGGCCACTTCAACGTGCATATACCGATTTACTTGCTCTCTGGCGGAGCTGGTGAGTAAATCAGCCGTACCATGTGCCAACTTACTTGAAAAACGTGCTCGTGAACACTATCCAGCCTGGCTAGTAAAAAGAGATCGAAAACGTGTGTATATAGTTCAGTGACAGAACATCTGCTCAATTCAGGACATTTAGCGCCATTCGAAAAATCTTTCAAAGTAATATACAAGATTCGATCAAACCTATCAAAGGGAGTGAAATTAAGACATCTGGGCATAACCGAGGCACTAGCCATCCAAAAGCAAAATACGCTCAACCCTTGTTCCTTTTGTGGCCATCATAAACAGGTAATTCTTTTAGTAATGACCATCCTATTGCCTTTATTATCCAAACTTCCTGTTTATTCATGTTATTTTTAAGTTTTTCTTAATACCTTCACTGTTTACACTACCATATTTTCATATCCAAACATCCTGTCTATCTTTTTTGTTATTTCTACATTTCTAACCCTTAATTGCACAATCAATGTCAATCTTCTCAGTAATTATGATGCCACTTTGTCTGAGCTTTATCCGTCCCACTACCCTGTTTATTATGTCATTTTAATTCCTAATTGTAATTGTATTAATTTGACCCTTAACCGGAAATTATTTTTATGGAAGTTTCCCATCCGTTTCTTATACATACACGAATGTACAGTTGTCTTGTCGTTGATGACTTCGTCGAAAAGAAAATTTTCTTCCTCGCTGCAACTGTCTTCTTTTCAACAACGAATTTATTATCAAGCTGTACAATCGTATATGCATATGGTTTATTTTATAAGGAATTATATCCGGTGAGGCAGGGAATTACATCAAAGGTGTGAATACATGAAATAATAATAATAATAATAATAGTAGTAGTAGTAGTAGTAGTAGTATGAAATGCAATTAAAATATTTGTGATTATAATCATAGTTGTGAGTGTCAAGTGGCAAAATAACTCGACAAAGACTGAACACTGTTGTGGTTAAAAAGACGAATTTTCATGCAGCTAATATCATAATAATAATTGAGAATGTGAAGCCAATATATCCATTCATCCATCTAAGCCCTTCGAAAATGCGAAAAATGATGTCACATCCCACTGTACTTATCAGTTTGAATGTACATGTGGACACACACACAAACATAAAGAGGACTCATCGATCTCTGCAAGTAAGGGCTAGGTGGTTTCAGAGGATATTCCTAAATGGCTCCAGAAACAAATGGAATCTTCAGAACCCATTAATGGTGAGAACAGACGAAGACCTCGCTGTCTCCTCTATTGCGAAACATATTACAGAGGAGACAGAACATAAAATTGACGTTAACAGAACTTTTAAACCTATCTATCTATAAAAGCGTGTTTGTGGACGCTAACCCTAGCTGTCAGTTAGGAAGTATAAACCACCTTTATGCGTTCAAAGCAACAATTCGTCATCACACTAACTAAATCTACCTTCCTTGATGGTAAACTTTGTTTTGATATCAACCAACCAGGGCAGATGTACTATTACCTTTGTTATTTGGTTTAGTTATTGACCTTCATTGTTATTCTGATCTTCAATATGTCCTCCTTTTAACTTGACCTAAGTAGTCAAGTCCCTTTTCTCACCCACCTCTTAACTCACTCTTTATTAATTTCATATATATGTACTCCTATGACAAGTCCGTGTGTGTGTGTGTGTGTGTGTGTTGGATCAGATTGTTCGAAATGTGTGTTGTGCGCGCAAATATGCACATTACACACACGATTCAGACAGACAAATTACGTCTTCCTTCCTTCTTATTGCTGCTTTATCTAACTGAATTCATAAAGGGAACACCAATTGTTTTAAAAATATTTAATGTCACATATATAGAATAATAATACATAAGGTGTATAGATGTTGTTGGAAAGGGGTACATAATTATAGGATTAGTAGGCGAATATAAAATGTTACATAACATGGTGTGAAATCTGATAAGATGGAATTCAATATCATGGAAAATTCCCATTGTAATATATAGAAAATCAAAACAAATGATTCAGCGAAGAGACTCTTTTCAACGAATTTATTATCAAACTGTACAATCGTATATATATATATATATGGTTTTTAAGAAGTTATATCCGGTGAGGGAATTAAAACATAGGTGTGAATGCATAAATCTGGTCGATAATGATCACCCCATTATCTCTATAGCCTCCGCCTTCAAAGTCATCTACAAGGCAAAGAATAATCTACTCAAATCCCTACGTACCCGACTCATCTGTATTGCTGAAGCTTTGGCTATCGAAACAGAAAACCCAGATCTCTGTGTACAAAAAATTTCGTTCAACCCCTCCAACTTTCATGGTCTTAATCCCTCTATGCTACAGTATGGTAATCCCCAATCATATTTTAGCTCTACCAACTCTCCATTTTTTCATTTTTGTCTATTCAATTTGTAATATTAGAACAAGACATATAAGCGAACAATATTGTTTTCAATTAGATCTTCTTCAGGCTTTACTCTAATTTACATAGATTTATATATAAAATTTTAACATCTTAAAAGCAGCTCTTTCAGACTAATAACTGGAATTCCGATGTCAATCTGCTTTTCTAGTATCTCTTGGCATATGAAATCCACAGTCTCCATAAGTGGTACATTGGTAAACAATGACGCTACATCTAAGGAAAGCATTTGCTTTGATTGCTCAAGTGAAAGATAAGCTACCTAGTTGTGCCACTTCGATGTGTATTTATAAATTTAGTTGCTCCTGTGGAGAAAGCTATATAGGGCGAACAACTAGACAGCTGAACAAACGCATTAATGAGCATCTTCCTTCATGGTTCGGAAAAGGTCAAATAAAATCCATACGAAGTTCTATTTTGGCTCATTTGATTGATAGCGGTCACCAAGTGGACAAAAATAGTGCTTTCAAAGTTATCTATCGTATTCCATCGAGTCTTTCGAATGGAATCAGTAATCGTCTTTTACACCTAGCCGAAGCTATGGGAATTCGAGAGAACAATCCTAGTCTTTGCATACAAAAGAAGTTTGTTCTACCTTTGTCTCTCCCTTGGCCTAGGTGAACTGTATTCAAAACCCTCCCACCCTTTCTTATTTTCTACCTCCTTTGTACTTTTATAATATTTATTTAAACTCTGATTATCGTTCCAATTCACCTTTTAAGATTTGACCCAATTTATTTATACACTTATATACATATACTATCTTTGTTATTCTTATCACCTGCATAAACCTTATTATCAATATTTTGTTATCATTATAATCATCGTTATTAACTACGTTCAAAACATTTACCACATTATTATTGTTATTATTATTATTATTATTAAGACTATTAAGATTATTATTTGATTCCCAAAATCACCGTTATTGGTTAAAATTTTATATATATATATCTATGTAAATTAGAGTAAAGCCTGAAGAAGATCTAATTGAAAACAATATTGTTCGCTTATATGTCTTGTTCTAATATTCAATTTGTATACTCTTCCTTATTAAGTCAATTGTTACTATTACTACTCTCACTTTTAATTGTCCCCGGTATTATTTCACTTATTCCACTTGTCATTCTTAATCAATTCCTTTATGCAACATTAAATTCTATGCTATTAAATTTCACACAATATTACGTAACGTTTTTATTTTATTCGATTTGTCTACTAATCTTATAATTGCACACCTTTTTCAAGTTCTATCCATCCTATGAATTATTCTATATATGACATTAATTTGCTTTGCCACTTGACCTTTAACTACGATTATAATCACAAACATTTTAGTTTTAATTGCACTTCATATTATTATTATTATTTTATGTATTCATTCACACCTATGTTTCAATTCCCTTACCGGATATAACTTCTTAAAAACCATATATATATATATATATATATATATATACGATTGTACAGCTTGACAATAAATTCGTTGAAAAGAGTCTCTTCGCTGAATCATTTGTTTTGATTTTCTAGAATTCAATATTGCAAAAATATAAAAATTAATAATTTTGGGTTCAGAATGACAAGTGGGACTAGTGGGAATAATTCAGAGTGAGAATAGTAATAATAACAATGATAATAATAATAGTAATAATCGCAGTAATAAGGGAAAAGTACATAGAATAACTAAATAAACAAAATAAATAAATGTCTATCCCTCTACGGCCAAGGCAGGTGTAGGCGTTGTACATACTTCTTTTGTACACAAAGTTCTGCCTGGCTGGCTTAAAGTCATGAATTGCTAAGACCTCAGCTGTCTTTAGAATTAAGTCCATAACGAAGAAAACACGACCAGCATGTTAGCATGGATTCTATATATATGATCTTAAAATCATGGTCAGGGTTGATGTGGAGTGACAGAAGTCCGTCAGGTGTTCCAGAATAGAGCACTTTGCACACACACACACTTCCTTTCTTCCTTGTTGTAAAACCATGCTGTTGGAATATGTTCTCGTATCCATGCGGTGGAAGGTGGCATCCTCTGACTACAGCCAATGTACCTTGCTCCACGAGAGCAGATACTGTGTGGTGTTTAGAGGTGCTTTCGATTGCCCCTTTTTTCCACTCTCACCAATTATCTTGTTTTCGTTCTTTCAATCGAGAATTAACAGACGGAATGAAGGAAAACCCCACACACACACACACTCAGATGTATTTTGACAGCCAGAATCGACACTTGGTGCATATTCATCGAATAATGTCCACAGATATTGATTGGAAGTTCTGAAGAAATATTTATGCAGCAGCTTACATCCCCTCCCCCCGCCCACTATTGTATAGCAATCTCAAGAGAATCCTCGTCGAGAATTGTTATCCAGAACGAATTATTGTAAAATCCATGAATCCTAGACCACAGAAGCCGCACACGCTTAGCCTCCCTAAAATAACTACTCTACATGAACCTTCAATTCAATGGAGATATATCTGCGGAAACACTGAAAAATCAACTGTCGCGCTCACTTGAGGAAACCTTCCTCGCAGCAGCTGAACTACGACTAACCTTCTCCACAAAACCTTTGATTCATGTGAACGTGAAGGATAAGCTACCACTGCCGGCTGGCCAAATCAATGTGTATTTATCAATTCACCTGCTCGTGTGGAGACAGGTATGTCGGCCGTACCCAGCGTTCGCTTTCCAAACGTATCACCGAACACTAACCAACATGGTTTTACAAAGGAGAAAAACGATGCCCCCCACCCCATGGAGCTCTATCTTAGAACATCTGATAGATTCTGGACACCAGGCTACACCCTCAAACAATCTTCAAAGTCGTCTACAGAATACGAATTAGTCTTCCTAAAGGTGTACGAATCAGACTCCTTCAAACTCTGCAGAAGCAATGGCGATTCACTTGTTAAGTCCTGAACTCTGCATACAGAAGAAGTTCGTTCAATCACTACATCTGCGCAATGGACGGAATCTATCTTATTACCTGACAGGTAAATTCTACCTAATCTTTTCTTTTCTCTTCTGTCTGTTCATTAGTATTATTTTGTCTTCGCAGTTGTAATATTTTACATTTTCAACCTTCTTATTCTCTACCTCCACCCGACTTAATTTCTGCACCTCATTACCACTATTACTGACTAGACCAACGCTCAATTTCTAGTCATTTATGTTACGTCATCCAACTTATTTGCTCAATTTCAGTTCTAATCTAAATGGCATTATTCTCTACCCCACTTCCACTAAGTCTCTCTCTACCTGTAATTACCTCTGTTGCTACCCTGACTTAAGTTGAAACACTTTAGTCAATTATTATATTACGTCGTCATCTAACTTACTAACTAACTCAATCTTACTTTAGTTGCTGTCTAATTAACCAACCTTGTTTCTATATTCTGGGATCATTCTTGTATTACCTACCTGATTACCTGATTAATTATCTAAACTTGACAAACCTCATGTACACACACACACACACACAAATAGCATAAATCTGACAATACTTGGTATAAATCTCACGTTAACTACACCACACCACACTACACGTGGTGATTAACGACTTCACTGCCGAATGGATCGAATCTCACACACATGATCACATGATCAACCTGTGTAGGATTTCAATTTCAACAGTGTGTGGCAAATATTTTAAGGGTTAGCAAATATATTTTAGCATTTTAGAAGTTAGGCAAGCATTCAAGATTATTATAATCTTGAATAAAATGCAAATTTCATACAATGAGATTCCCTTTTTGTGTATAAATTTGAACAAAGAAAGAAAGAAAGAAAAAAGAAACATAAGCGCGCGCAGAATGTGGATTACCAAATCAGAGGCAAAGAAGAACAGTTAATTCCTTGAAGAAGATTGTAGAAGACACATAATCACGTTTCCAATTAATAAAATAAGGCAAATATGGGTTGTATTATGTTTTATTCATCAGATAACAATATGGCATATCACACTATGTATGATAAATATCTTCTTCATTTTTCTCCAAGCCATCATACACCGACTGTCAACGCAGATGAATTACGCTTAATTCCATGATATTAGTAAGATTGTAACAACAGAAGACAACGGCCAGGAAACAGATCGCTTATTTAGGACATCAACACATATTTATAGATTTTCATGTACATACATTATTATCGATTATTGTTAGCAGACAAAACACAGTCTTCTGATTGGTTGTTTCTCTTTGTGGCTGTTTCTTGAAGGTCAGATCATCTATCTGTCTATTGGCTAATTGTATCCGCCTACGCAAACAAAGTGTTCTGTGATTGGTTGTTGGTTGAGTCAGTCAGCCTTTGTTCTTGTTTTCTCATGACCAATATTGGGAACATCAACAACATTAACGTGTGAATTACTGTTTACCAATTTCGGCTAGAGTAGACAGCTCTCACCACACTATTCCATCTATGCATAACTGTTATAATCCCTATTCCTACTCTGGGTCTATATATCTTTCCTATCGCTTGTCTGTTTGTCTTAGACCCTATGTAGGATTCTCAATAAAGCAGGAATTAGGCTGGTGGTTGCATTCAAACCTACAAACTCAATCAGGTAGGATAAGCTCTGTAGGTTAAAGGACCCTGTTGGTTGACATAAATAAACAAAATAATTACAAACAATTAGTCCTTTTATAAATTTGGATAGCGTTGTGATTAGAAGACGGAGATTATCTGAAAAACAATGTGATGTGATGTATTTGCGCTATATATTTCAAACAATCTGATCACACATTTACTTGTCTAGTCGATCTAACTGTGAACATGTTAAATTAAACAAAGTGACAAAAAAAGGATTTAAGAATGATTAACACAACGTTTAGTAATCCAATCAAATAAGGATTACCAAATTAGGTTAAGAGTAATAATAAACTGTTTCTGAATATTACTGTTTGCTGACCTTAGTAATCCTTATTTGATTGGATTACTAAACGTTGTGTTAATCATTCTTAAATCTTTTTTTTCGTCACTTTGTTTAATTTAAGATTTACACAGTTAGATCGACTTAGACAAGTAAATGTTTGATCAGATTGTTTGAAATATATAGCGCAAATACATCACATCACATTGTTTTTCAGATAATCTCCGTCTTCTAATCACAACACTATCCAAACAAAATAATATAATTTACGTAGTACCTTGCAATGACTGTGAGTTAGGTCAACTATATAGGTCAAACTAGTAGGTCGGGGGTATTCAGATTGTCAGAACATAAGAATTTAGCTAAGGTAAGAATGGTTGACCCCACCCATGAAGATAAGTAATTTGCAAAAAAGCTCAGCACTACATTGCACTGCATGCATGCATTAACACACAACCACACAATGACATGGTGGGTGGGAGAGGCTTAAGATTCTAAGAAGTAATTTAGGTATGTGGAGAAAGAGAGAGATTGATTACTGAATCCTGCCTGGTTCATCGAGTCTAAATCCAGCACAACACATGCAACAGAAATGACTCAATGCAAATACCAGAAATATGTATGGAAGATATTATTACCACCAGTCAGTCAGTCAGTCAGTCAAATCAGAGGAGGATAATAAATAATCTTAAATTGTATTCTATTTCAATTCAATTCACGTACATCACAACATTCTAACGAGTTACTTATTATGACTATAGAAAGGCCACTCGTCTTATTTCTAATTTGATTGTAATTGATCAATAACACTCATATTATTATTATTATTATTTCTGAATGTACATTATCCTATATTACTGATTTGTATTCAAATGTCTAATCATGAATTCCACTCATGTATATAAATGAAGGATGGCGAAAGTTGTGTGAGTGAGTGACTTGATATGATGATTATGAGTGGCAACAATGAATTTCTGCTCGAAGAGTGCTGTCGTATCAGTTAATAATACTCACTGTATAACACTACACACACTGTGAGTGACAGTTTATCAAAATAAAATCTCATCCATGATAAAGAAAAATATTTCCTACCTAGACATCGAAGTGTGAAACGGTGAAATACAGAAGAACACGACATTGTACCACTGAATAAGCATTTCAGTAGGTGTAGGAGTACGTAGGCTGACTATTAACCAACCAATATAGTAAAACTGTTGTAAAATGAGAAAATCAATAAAACTTTTTGCGGTGCTTCCTCAGAGACTTACTTCAAACATATTCTTGCCTTTGAGGAGAACACGACCACCGAAACTTGCGCATCGTTCACGTTTCATGACACTGGCATTCTCAGGCATAATCACAGTCACCGGGATATTCAACAACTTTCCATGGTATGCCAATCCCAGGGCATGATTTCCAGCACTGCATGCAATGACACCACGTTTAGCCTCATCCTTGTATATACACACACATATAAATCAATACACATTTCACAGGCACATTAGAGTTTGTGAGTACACTTTTGTTAAAGGAAAATAAAAATAATACTGTTAACCGAATGCTACTCACTGACTGATTCAATCTGCCTATAAGAAAACACCCTTCAATACGCCTTGTGAATGAAGTAGAAAGTACGCACCCACCCCACCTCGCCGCTGGGGTTCGAACCCAGGACCACGTTCTGGTTATAAGGTGAGCTTCAGCTGGAGAGTCAGTCCCATGCTAGACTGAGGAAACTGTTGGCTGGCTGTCTGGCAGTACTCCCTCACTGGTTGGTTCTCCTTCCAGTGGTTGGTTCTCTAACGCTGATGTCAGTCAGCTCATGATCGATAATGAAATCCTCCATCCCATCCCATCCCATCCAATCATCAAACAAAATCCCTACAAAACTACAATACTTGAAAAAGATGAAACGGCAAGGAAAAATAACAACACTAAGGTCGAATAAAATGCCCCCCCCCCTTCCCTCCGTGAATAATTTATTCACTTTGCTTTCCATTCTCTATTCGATCTCTCCATATGTTGGTTTTTGCCATTATTCAAATAATTAAGGGGAAAGTAAGTTGTGGGGCAATAAAATTTCAAGGAAATATCGATATTTTGAAGAGATACTAAATTCTTTTGCGGGTATCTTCAACATTTCATGTGGAGTGTGTTGGAGTAGGTTCGCTTAAATCTGCTCTTACTGATGATGATGATGGATGACTGACTGAGTGACTGACAGATCTGTGCAAATGTCAGTTAGACTACGCTCTTCTTCCCTTCTGAAGACATAAATTCCCTTCTCAGGTCAGAGGCAAACATGCATGAAATGTAATGTCAAACTTCTCCCGGCCGATGGTTAGGACATGTGCTACGTATGCATGACTAGTCATCGCCTTCCTCGACCGACGGGCAATGTTAGCTGACTGACATAGGATTGGTCAGGCTGGAAAAGAGCTAGCGGCGGTCAAACCAAAACATGGCTTCACCAGTCACTGAAATCTACAACAGTTAGTTTAAGCCACGTAGGAAGATGTAGACTGGCTTCCTGACTGGTTGGGGTCCTCGGGACGGTAAAAACCAATGGTTGGAAACAATTGGTGACATGGCTCAAAATCGTTCTCAATGCCTGGCGCAGATGCATCCACTCCTTGTGACTTATGATTTCCAGTTAAACTGTTTTGTTCTTCGTTATTATTATACATTTGTCTCACACCTCTGTTTACTGTCTATATTATTATGCATTTCTCCTACTTTCTTTTCTTGCTTTGTGTGCTCCAAAGAGGGAGTGTGGCGACTTGAACTGCCGCACATATTTGCAAAGTTCTATGTCGAAAACGGATCGACCGACCGAATATCAAACTTCTACATCAAATATACTAAATGTATATGTAATACAAAGTTGCAATTATAATATAATTATTATTATTGTTCCTTTAATTCCTAGAGGAACATAGGGCTTTAGCCACGTGTCTCCATTGAGTTCGGTTCTCTGCCAGAGTCTTCACCTGGCTTCATGTCTGCCCACACGTTTTCATCTCCTCTTCACATGACCTCCTCCAAGTCACCCTTCGACGACCAACTGGCCGCTTCCCTTTCGGGTTCCACTGAAGGGCTTGTCTAGTGATGTCACTTGATGGTTTCCTCAGAGTATGGCCAATCCAACTCCATTTCCTTCTGCACATTTGTTTCACAATCGGTTCCTGGTTGGTTCGCTCCGAGATCTCTGTTGCTGATATTACCTGGCCATCTGATCTTGAGTATTGAGCGAAGACGACTAGCTGTTGATGAAGGTCTGTAGTTTGTTCGAGATGCTCTTTATGACGCGCTGGCCATGTCTCTGATCCGTATAGTGAGTAGCGCTGACTGACTTCACATTGAAGTTGAAAATCCTGATCTTATTTTTGATGCTCAGTGTTGTTGACCTCCACACAGACTTGAGAGTAGTGAAAGCTTGTCTCGCTTTTCCGATTCTTGCTTTGATATCCTCGTCAGTTCCACCCACCTGTAGTTGAAATGATGCTTCCCAGGTAAGTAAAGGAGGCTGTTTCTTTCAGGTTTCTCCCATTTATGCTGGCTGATTTTTGTCTGTTGTTGTTGCTGTGGCTGTTGGTGTTGGCCAGGAATCTTCATCACCTACCTCTGTCTTCTCTATGTTCACCTGATGTCCCTGTTATCGTCTCTGGATGCTTCTTCAGGTAACTTGTTGCTTTTCACTTGCATATCTTCCAGTTTGTGGGAAATCAGACATATATCATCAGCGAAGTCCAGATCCTCCGAATTTCTGGTGTGAGTCCATTTTATGCCTGTTTCCTCATTATATCTTCAATCATCCTTTAATCTTAACTATTTCAAAGCCATGATTTTCTATAGTTTTGGTTTGTAAGGATTAGTTTTGTTTTGTTTTTCACGAGCTGATCACGGATTGATATCGGTTAGTTAGAGAACGATTGAAATTTAGCCACAGGGAATACTGCCAGACAGCCAGCTGTTTCATCAGCCTAGTTTGAGAATCACCATCGGCAGTACGCACCCACCACTACACCGGGGTTCGAACCCAGGACCTTCCGGTCACAATGACGCAGCTGTCCAGTACTCCTAGAAGGTTTTCCACTATTCTCTAACTGATATCAATCCATGATCAACTCGTAAAACAAAACAAAACTAACCCCTACAAACCAAACTATAGAAAAAATTAATCTGATGCTTGCTAGTGAGTGGACACTAGCTACAGGATGGAGTTTCCTGGAATCAGTCAGTTCTAGTGAGAAGTCGTGACCACTGAGGTAGTGGTCCATTCAGATGTTGTCACGTGTGAGAATGGATGTCCCACCGACGACATTGGTTGGTGTCAGTCACGCTAAATGCATCACGAATTGGTAGAGGTTAGAATTCATGCACTAGCTGGCCATTGGATCCGGTCCCAGTGGCTCAGCGGTCTACGAGCTAGCTCGCTAGTCCTGGGTTCAAACCTTGTCAGTGGCGGGTGGGTGCGTACTGCTGAATAGCCGGTCCCAAACTAGTCTCACGAAACAGCTGTCCAGTGATTCTCTAACGCTGATGTCAGTCAGTTCATGATCAATAATGCTGCTGCTGGATTCAACATAGAACTTGCCACAAAAGTGCAGCATTTCGAGTTGCCACGTTCCAAATAGCACACAAAGATAGACAGGGAAATGAGAGAAGAGGATCAATAGAATTCAGATAAGTATAAGAGTGAAACAGAATGAGTAATAGTAGAAAGGAATATGAAAGATTACACAAGAGACTGAATACATCTGCGTAAGCCATTGACAACGATTTTGAGCCATGTATGTCAACTATTGTCTGTCTCCAGCCATTGATTCTTCGAGTCCCGAGGGCGGGCCCCAACCCGGAATTCTGCATCTCCCTCCCTACCTGACTCACTTTAACTGTCAAGGATTTCATGGATTGATGAGGCCATGTTCTTGTTTGGCATGTCACCACTTACTCTTTTCCAACCTGCACCTATATCAGCTAGTAATGCCCGTCAGGATGGGGAGGCGATGGCTAGGCATGCGCAGCACGTGACCTAACCATCTCAATTTATGTAACTTTATAGCCTCTTCGATTGATTTTCCCTGATCAATAATGAAATCCTCCATCCCATCCAATCCAATCAAACAAAAATCCCTAAAACAACAAAAAACACCAACACTTCTAAAAATGGATACACTCTCGAAAAAAACAAAACACAATCAGAAAATTACTCACAGGTGTTAACTGAAGTAGAACATTACGAGCGCCTCGTTCTTTGAAACTGGCAAAAGTAGTAAAAATATTTATTGATATTTTTTAGAAAAATGGTGTGTGTGTGTGTGAGTGTGTGTGTTATAAATATACCACATACCTTCCAGTGACTTGTAAAAACTCCTCTTTAAAGTAAATCTCCATGCCATATTCAGAAGACAGACGAGATTTCTACAACAACAACGGCAAGAACAACAGCAGTGTGTGTGGTGTATATGGTGTATTAGAAGGAATATTACAACACATTCTATTCAAGTATTGGTTTGGTAGGGATTTTCTTTAATTGCATGGAGGATTTCATCATGAGTTGACATCAGTTAGAGAACCACTGGAAAACCAGCAAGGGAGTACTGGACAGCTGTTTTGTCCTAGTTTGGGACTCTTCATCAGTATGCGCCCACCGGGATTCGAACCCAGGACCTTCTGGTTACAGGGCTAGTGAGCTCGTAGACCATTGAGCTACTGGGACCCGGTCCAATGGTCCTTGAATTCTAACTTCTGCCAATTCACGCATGACATAGCGCGACCATTTCGCAATGTCTTCCTAGATGAGTTACTGCCTCATCTTCAATTGGCAGAAGTTAGAATTCAAGGACCATTGGATCGGGTCACAGTGGCTCAATGGTCTACGAGCTCGCTAGCCCTGTAACCAGAAGGTCCTGGGTTTGAATCCCGGTGGGCGCGTACTGCTGAAGAGTCCCAAACTAGTTGGACGAAACAACTGTCCCGTACTCCCAGGTGGGTTTTCCAGTGGTTCCTCAACTGATGTCAGCTCATGATGAAATCCTCCATGCAAATATTCTTTTCACAAAAATTCTTTTTGTCTCTTACCTTACAATTTGTATAAATTATCCCATCCTTGATACGCTCTCTAGCCAGTCGGACTTCGTCGAAGGTCAGCGTCCTAGTTTTGGACTCTTCATCAGTACGCACCCGCCCACAGATTTCGAACCCAGGACCACGTTCTGATTACAAGGCGATCTAGCTCGTGGACCATTAAGCCAAGCCACTCGGACGCGATCCGACGGCCAGTCAGCCAGTGCATGAATTATAACTTCTACCAATTCACGCACGACATAGCGCGACTGGCACTAGCCAATGT